GGCTATAGGCCTATCTCTCCTTCCAATCCTGCGCCTGTCAGGATGGCGGATGGGGCTCCTCAGCTCCCGAACTCTTGGGGCTGGCGCTGACCTTTCCCCCTCATCCCAGTCTATTAGTTCGTCCCACATGTCCCAAGACATCCAGTAGACGTTGTTGGCCCATGAGGCGGAGGCTGAGGAGCTTTCGCCTTGGTGGAGGGACATGTCACCAGCTGCTCTCAGGTCTATCTGGTGGCCTTCACTGTCCCATTCCCCACTATCCTGTCTGTCCCAGTCGCCAAGACTCTGCCAAGAGACGACATACTTTGGGCAGCTGGTTAACGTCTTCACATGAAGACACGGAACTGATGCGCTTTTTCTTGCAACGATATCCATTGCTAGCTTCGCAATATAAAAGCAGCGCAAAGCGTGTCAGACACATATCGAGAGGAGGGATTTGACCAGAGCATTGATTACACTTAATTTATATGGTTCTGTGGAATGCAGACCATATGATATTATGCAAAGTTCCATTTACAGAGTTAATCAAGTGGAACTAATTGGTAGTTCTACAGTTTTTCTATATGTGACCCTGCCTGGACCACAAAACCAGTCATAAGGGCAATTTTTTTTAAATTGAGATTTATACATCTCTGGAAGCTGGAAGCTTTCCATTGATGTATTGATTGTTGATAGGACAATATTTGTCCGAGATACAACTATTTGAAAATCTGGAATCTGAGGGTGCAAAAAAATCTAAATATTGAGAAAATCGCCTTTAAAGATGTCCAAATCAAGTGCTTAGCAATGCATGTCACCAATCAAAAATTAAGTTTTTATATATTTACGGCAGGAAATTTACAAAATATCTTAAAGGGGTCATATTATGCTTTTTCACTTTTTCAACTTTAGTTAGTCTGTAATGTTGCTGTTTGAGCATAAAAAAGATCTGCAAAGTTACAAAGCTCAAACTCCACTTCAAAAGGAGATATTTTATTTAACAGAAATCACTTTTCAAAAACTACAACGAATGACTCGTTTGGACTACAGGGCATATTTTCCGGGATTTGTGATATCACAAATATCGAGGAATGGGATGAGATGAGACCATATGCGAAAGCACCTCTAAAACCTGCCTTTTCCCCCTCATCTCTTGCTCGCTTCACTAGAGGCCACAATTTGTTGCGGATTACTTTTTTGGATATTCTCATTGTTAGATTCAGGGACACCTGCAACACGGTGAGCGTGATTTCAGCAAGTACAACATGTTCAACATCACTCCAATCAACCATGAGACCATGGATGAGACCTGGTTGAGCTGCACTAGAGAAGGCAACGAGTGTTATCACTATGCAGGAGACACTCTAGCTTTCACAAGGCAGACGAACTTAGAGTGCTTACAATCATCCAGGTTTAAATCGCGCTCAAAATGATTTGATTTTGACGCAATATTTACACTAAAGCTCGTAGGCAGCTATGGTAAGGGGCATAACATTTCCCGACCAGGCACCGAGTGCAGCCAATCACAACACACACTGGCCCAGCTAACCAATCACAGCACATTTCATATTTCAGAAGGCGGGCCTTCATTTGATACAGGAACTATTCGAGCCGTTCATGCCAGACTGAGGAGAGAGGTGTTGTAATAATGTAAAAAAATGTGAAAAATAATGTGTTTTTCGAACAAACTAGTATGAAAGCCTGTTCTAGTACACCCCAAAAACAAAATCAAGACTTTGTAAAAGAGCATAATAGGACCCCTTTAATGGAACATGATCTTTACTTAATATCCTAATGATTTTTGGCAAAAAAGAAAAATCGATCATGTTGACCCATACACTGTATTGTTGGCTATATACCCGTGCTACTTGTGACTGGTTTTGTGGTCCAGGATCACATATAGCCTACTTGACCTAAAGTAACGTTAACTACAGAGATTTTGCTGCCACCTGCTATGTAACATGGTCCACTGTAAAAGCTGAAACCTCGTATTAATGCTAAATTACGGAATTGGATGATGAATTAGCAGGCTCTCTCTCTCTCTCTATGTAACATAGGCCTATAATACCATTTTATAGCCTGCTATAATATTACACAAACTAGACTACACTTGACAAAACTGTGAGAGTAACCGGCACGCACAAACACTGTCTATTATGTATATCGCGATACATATTGATATTGAATTATTGTCCAGCCCTATATGTTAGTAATCTTTTGTGTTTCAGCTATATTTGTTTCCAGTCTTATTTGCTATATTTCTATTTCTTTCTATTTTCTCACCCTTTCTCCCAATCTTGAAAACGCTAGTAGTTCATCTAGCTTAGCTGAAATTTGAAGTTCAATGTAGCAACGAGAATTTAACCAACAGGAGGTATGAGCCAGGGTTATACAACCTAACTAAATACAAAACAATTCATTACTTTAAATATAATAAACGTTAACTAAAATAAAATTAATGATTAAACTTACCTTATTTCGGTTTGATGACAAGGGAACAGTTCTCATTTTCATTTAATTCAACTAAAAGAACTTAAACTGAGACTGAAATAAAAAGAACGATCTTTCACACACTCACTCACTCACTCACTCACTCACTCAGAAAAGGTATATAAATAAAGAAGGGACAAACAAAACAGGCTTTAAGTGAACAAAAGTAAGAAATATCAAAACACAGACTCAGCTATAAGTTATATACATTGTATGGCAGTGGTTAAATTTGAATTAGAAATCAAAATGAAATATATTCATAATAATAAAATAAAACGATAATAATAATGCATGTACATCATTTTGCAGAAGGGGTTTTAAGATACTATAAGTCACTAAATTATTACTCGAAAGTGTACAGAGTGATGAAGCAATTATTGTAAGTTCATTTATGAAGTGAGGAAAAGAAGGGGTGGTTTTTAAAAATCTACACTTATGATAGAGACATATTTAAAATGAAAATTAGCTTACTAAAGTGACAAAAACTAAACTGCTGCAGGTGAACACAAACCCCGCGCCTTCTGTTGCCGGCATGCCTCGAAGTGTATGGGATTACGTTTGTGCCAATTAAAATGAATGTAATTTTTCAAGAAACTTATGAAAATATAAATTGAAACTGAATAAAATGTCTTTGAAACTGAAAAAAAATTAATTGCAGGCAAAATCTTTGACTTCGTTTTTAATACACTGCATGTTTTGCTATGGTTTTCTCTTCTTTCATTCGCTGATCTGTGATGTGCTTCCAGAGTTTTCATTTACGCTTCTGAAGTTTTCGTTTGCCATTCTGACACAAATCTCTCGTGGGGGTGGGGCTAGCAGCGGTGTGTATTTATATATATTTTTATATCATTAAAATGAAATTGGAAGCCATCCACACTGGCAAGGCAACACTGTCACTGACGCCTTCACTTCCAGGTCAAGAAGCTGTCAATCAAAAACTCAGTAGCCAATGAGAACACACCGCTGCTAGCCCCGCCCCCACGAGAGATTTGTGTCAGAATGGCGAACGAAAACTTCAGAAGCGTAAATGAAAACTCTGGACGCGCATTTGTAAGTACAGATCAGCGAATGGAAGAAGAGAAACCATGCAGTGTATTAAAAACGAAGTCAAAGATTTTGCCTGCATTAAAAAAAAATTCAGTTTCAAAGACATTTTATTCAGTTTCAATTTATATTTTCATAAGTTTCTTGAAAAATTACATTCATTTTAATTGGCACAAAGGTAATCCCATAGAAGTGAGCGTGCGCGCGCGGGAGTGTGCGTGAGGAGAGCGAGCTTTACCTTCTCGTGTGTGTGTGTGTGTGTGTGTGTGTGTGTGTGTGTGTGTGTGGGTACAGGTTTATATATCCTGGGGGCGACTTAAACCCGACTACCTGGTTTATATATCCTGGTGGGGACTTAAACCTGACTACACACAGACTCATGGGGACTCGTATCACGGTGGGGACCTAAATTGTGGTCCCCACGGGTACAAATGCTTATAAATCATACAGAATTAATCTTTTTGAAAATCTAAAAATGCAGAAAGTTTCCTGTGAGGGGTAGGGTTGGTGTAGGGCAATAGAATATATGGTCTGTACAGTATAAAAACCATTACGCCTATAGAGAGTCCCCACAAGGATAGCTGGCCAGACGTGTATGTGCGTGTGCGTGTGCGTGCGTTAGTGACGGGAAGTTCGGATCATTTTACAGACTCGGACCTTTGAGTCTCGTTCAGCAAAATGAACAAATCTTTTTTCGAGTCATTTCGTTCATTTTAGCAAAGTATAATTAAAATGTTACGTGTTACTTCCCTAACGCGTCTACTACTTACACAAACGTTGATCACACTACAAACAATACAAAACTGCTATAAGAAACAGAAAAGATTAATTCATTGTTTACCTGGGTCTTCAGTTTATGGTTAGCTCACCTCACCTCTTATCTGACAAGTCTTCGGGTTTGAGTCGTTCGTTCATCACGTGACAGCCCCATACGCTTTAACCAATGCAGTCTGAGCCGGAAAGAGAATTGATTAGTTCATCTCTCAAGTCTTTCGAATCGTTCGTTCTTTTGTCACGTGACGTGACAGCATTGGATAGAGAAATTAGTTAATTTACAAGCTTCCTTACAAACGGGTGCATAGTTATTATTATTATTATCATCATCATTATTTACTCTTACAGTTACGTGATGCGTTTCTGGTCTCAAATTGTAGCTTTTTACTTCTTTCAGTTTATAAATATGTGAATTTCTGTCATTATGGTTATTTTCCATAACACTGAATGTTGTAACAAAGGTAATAAAGAGTTGGTTATTATTATTATTAATTCTCTTTCCGGCTCAGACTGCATTGGTTAAGCTTATGGGGCTGTCACGTGATGAACGAACGACTCGAAAAACCCGAAGACTCGAACCAGGTGAACTACTTGACTAAATCCAGTACAGAACCTATAGGATGTTGCGCATGCGCGACTGAACGAATCACTCCCCGAGACGACTCGTTCTTCCCGAGTCACATTAAAGAGTCGCTCAAAATCGACCCAACACTAGCGTGCGTGCGTGTGTGTGCGCTGCACTTGTTGTGTGAGCAGTGTGCCGGATGCTTAAGAAAAGAAACTGTCCTGTAAAAAAGAGAAGAGGGTAGGATACGGAATAAACGGTTCGAAGCTGAAATGATGTGATGTTTCTTTAAAAATGGTGAGTAGAAACTTTTGTAACTAAAGCTGCTAAACTTTGCGCGAGCCTCTTTGTGTTTAAAGTTTTGTCATCGAGGCCTCGTGTTCTTTAATTGACGTTGTGGTTTATAGGTTCCGAAACATGTATTTTTGTTACTAAACACTCAATTTGGTTTTGTTTAGAGATGCAGGGCGTCTTTTAAGTGCTTATTTTTTTGTTTTTGTGGCCTATCATTCATTTATCGTTGCGGTGCTCCGCAGAGGAGGAGTGTGACGTATGAGATCAGTAGCAGGGAAAGTTTCGCTGTGATTTTACTTCAGGATTAATAATGAGGCCTCTTTAATTCTGAAAGAAGCACAAACATGGCTATGTGTTATCATCAGAACATGACATGTTTATAGTGGCGAGTAGATGCGGTCAGTGAAGTTAAGTTACATGTTTTCAGATCGGTGTGATGGCTGTGTTTACACTCTGCTGTGATGAAGAATGCGTGGTTTATCTGCGACATTACATTCCTCGCATTCTGTCTCTGATTAATGACTAAATCATTCATGACTCTAGTTTCACCAGTGTTAGATCTGTAGAAGGGCTGAGTTTTTGGTTGGTTTGTGGTCCTTTCTTTTGTATTTGTAAAATGACTAAACTTGTTTTCGATACTTGTTTTTAATCAAACAGTGACTAGTATATTTTTTATATGTAATTCAGTTTCACTTGTAACCTTCCATACCTTAGAAACTAGTACTTATTCCAGTAATACATTAGAAAGCAGTTGTGGCTGTCTGTTCAAATAGACACTACTTTCTAGTAATTTTATTTCTCTAATTGTCTGGATAGTGACAGGTAACATTGTTAACAATAACCTTTTTTGAGTTTTTTTGTCTAGATGACTCTGTGGTTCAGATGTCAGCTTCTGATTTGTACGCAGTTGTTCCTTGTACCTATTAAAGTTACTTGTAAACTGTTAAGTACTAGCTCTTTTTCTTTAGCTGCTTGTAACTATTCAAGTAGTTACTAGAATATTTGTTAGGTTTTCCTAGTAGTGAATACATTGACATTGGTACCTGTTTAAGTGTATTGTATTCCAGTTGTTTATAGTAACATTTTTGACTTTATAGGGACATTTTAATGAGATACTATTATGGTTTTATTAATATAATAAAAAACTATATTTCATTTTTAATAATTAGTTAAATTTTTAGTAATGTTGTTGTATTGTCATTTTTATTTTTATTTCATATAGTTTTTTATATTTTATTTTATTTCAAGTAACATTTTTTTAAAGTTTTAGTTAACTATAACAACCCTAATTCTGACTAGGACATCTGACTAAGACGAAGGTGTATATATATATTTAAAAAAAAAAAAACTGTGAAATATACACACCCACCACCATCATCCTTCTTCAAAGTCAACTACAATTGCTGTTAAACATATTTTACTGGACTGCACTGTTTTAGTGTAAATAAACAATTATTTTATTTAGAGATGTGCTTCATTTATGTATTTTTTTAAAAGTATCAATGTATGAAAGTTTTTTTTTTAGAATCTTTTGTCTAGTATTAAGATTTAATGTCTTATGTAGTTTTTTATTAATTGTATGCTTTGGTTATTTATAAATAAATAAATAACCAATGAAATAAGAAATATTACTAGAAACTATTGGGGTGAATACTAGTGTCTCATATAAAGATATGTGTACTGTAAATCAGGAATAGATACTAACTGTTAGGATAGTTACTAGTAGACAAAAGAAGTGCTAGATGTGATGAACAAGTGCTTGTAAAATATTAACCATCATTGAAGTACAGACTGATATCTAATTGATAATTAGAAATTAAGTACCAGTAAACATACAAATAGGCACTTGTTAGTTTAAAGGAATAAGCCTTCAGCATTCAGTTATGCTTATATGAAACTTATACTTGCATATATAATTTGCAACGTTCTGCTACCCCTTTATTCATCCATTATTCCTCTAATAAAGTCAGTCCCTTTACTCTGATCAAGAGCTCACCACATTCAGCAGGAATCTCACAAAACTTTGTCTTAGATTAGCATTAAAGGTCATCGTCTTTAAAGGTTATGGGTAATCTTTAGCTTATCTGTTTTTTTGCGAGAAACAGGGAGGCTTTCTGTATTCTATCTGGCCTGTTGATATGTGAGGGGGGAGGTTGGCTTCATGGTCAGAAGCGATTCGCAAGCCAGGTGTTTTCCACACAGTAACAGAACTAGTAAATCAGTTACAGCATGAGTAAACACAAAAACTCACATTTTGCAGCTGCTGCATCCTCTGATCACACCTGTGCAAACCCAGTTAATATTAATGTAGCCTAACCAATGCCCTCCCTTGATGTAGTGTTACAGTTCAGAATGGGAGTTTTTAGTTACATGTAAACAATTTTTACTTAGTAAAAAACAAAGATGGTGGAAGAGTCAAATTTCATGACTTATGCTCGGTGTAAAGTAAGGAGGGCGTTCGTTGTTCTACCCAGACTGGGGCAGCCTGCTTTTCTCGTTTGACCGATAAGCATAAACCTTAGCTGCATTTTGAGTGGCTATATTCATCTCCATCCAGCAGATGATTCAAGAGGTGCAGCCTGCAGCAGTTGACAACAAGTTGTCATTCAGCGTGAACGGTATACTGTAATAAAACCATCTGCAGAAAACGGCATTACATGACTACTGAGGGGAGGTCTGAGTGTTATTTAAGTGTGCCTCTGCCCATGCAGTGATACTTTTTGGTCTCCCAGCAATTTGAAATGGCAAGTCAGTGCCTTTAAAGGGGTCATATGATGCAGTTTCAAGTTTTCCTTTCTCTTTGGAGTAGGGATGTAACGATTCACAGCCATATCACCCTGCAGCCCAAGACTGGTCACCCACTGAAGCTAAGCAGGGTTGAGCCTGGTCAGTACTTGGATGGGAGACCTCCTGGGAAAACTAGGTTGCTGTTGGAAGAGGTGTTAGTGAGGCCAGCAGTGGGTGCTCACCCTGCAGTCTGTGTGGGTCCTAACGCCCCAGTATAGTGACGGGGACACTATACTGTCAAAAAGCACCGTCTTTCGGATGAGATGTTAAACCGAGGTCCTGACTCTCTGTGGTCATTAAAAATCCCTTGGCACTTCTCGTAAAGAGTAGGGGTGTAACCCCAGTGCCTAGCCAAATTGCCCTCCGGCCTTTGTCAATCATGGCTTCCTAATAATCCCCACCCACTTGATTGGCTCTATGACTCTCTCTCCTCTCCACCTGTAGCTGGTGTGTGTGGTGAGCGCACTGGCGCTGTTGTACTGTGACTGCCATCGCATCATCCAGGTGGATGCTGCTCACTGGTGGTGGTTGAGGAGAGACCCCCCCACATGATTGTAAAAAGCGCTTTGGGTGTACAACAATAC